GAGAAGAGTTGATGACTGTCAGCAGACAGGGTGTTTAATATTATTATTACGACGTGTATAACTGTAGCCTTAGCCATAATATGTTCTTATGTTTAAGACACGACATGTACTAGAGGTCGTGAGAATGTTTTTAGTTACACACCACTTAACTAACAGACATACACATTCACACGTTGATTTGCTTCATGTTTTGACTACTGCTAGGGCCAGCTGCAAAGCTGGTAACAGAGACGTCCCGGTTGATGTTTCTGTGTAGTATGGGGCTAGCCCAACCGAGGTGATATAATGTATAGGCCTGGTGGGCTCAGGGTCTTTCATCTTACATCTGCCTGCGTGCATGGTGGAGGTGCAAGATCCTTGAGCGTGTAATGTTAATTTTACCTGTGATCCTTTGAATAAATCAGCACTGTTTTGAAGTTACTTGGACTGTCTCATCTCAGAGTTAGCAATGGTAAGACGAACCATATCCTACATGTGTCATGGTGCAAGGACAATAATCTCAGCCTCAACACGGACAAGATGAAGGAGATGATAGTGGACATGAGGAAGGAGAGGAGATCTCATCAGCCACTGTTTATCGGGGGGCTCAAAGTGGAGAGGGTGAGCAGCTTTAAGAAATCCAGTAAAACAAAAACAAAAAAAAACAGAGGTTTGACCTGGTCTACTAAGTACATCCTGGCTTAATACATTTCACAAAAACAAAGCTGAGTTGAGGAGGTGCAGTTAGGTGAAACCAGATCTAAGGAATTCAGATGAATATACTTGAAATTCACAGCTTTCTTCAGCAAACCTTGAGTTTGATCACACATTCACTGATGCTCACATAGAAGCTGCATTCAATTTGGCTGTGCCAACAGGCCGCGTGTTGAGTACTGTAGTTAAAATGAATGAAGGCCACGCCCCCGCCGGCAAAAACAGACTCAAAGATTCAAGACTCAAAATGTTTATTGTCATGTGCACAGTGAGGAAACATGTTTCCCTGTACAATGAAATTTTTACTTTACTGTCCACAATGAATGCCAAACAATGCAAGGTGAAATATAAAGTAGATAAATAGTGCACAAAGTCTAAAGGCACTTAAAAACAGTAAGTGGAGATGAATTATGTTACATCGGAGCTGGATGTGCAATAGGCAGCAGTGAGTGTGCAATTATGCATATGCAGATGTGCATGTGCAAACTTGGAATGTAAACAGTACAGGTGGAATTACATGAAGTAATTCCTGATTATAAACTCCTCGGCTGTTTAGGAGTCTGATGGCAGTTGGAAAGAAAGAGTTGGATTTTAAATTCAGGTGTGGTCCTTCCGACTTTCAGAGTAGGAATTGGGGGCATTCAGGGGGCATTCCAGTTTAAATTTCTGGCTAGGAACTCGGACATTCTGACTTCCGACTTCAAATGAAATGCTGCATTAGGTTCCGCAGCATTTGTGGACCAATTAATCCATGAATTAACTAATCATATCAGTAGAAACATAAATACACAGGGTGGGACATACAGTGCCTTGCGAAAGTATTCGGCCCCCTTGAACTTTGCGAACTTTTGCCACATTTCAGGCTTCAAACATAAAGATATAAAACTGTAATTTTTTGTGAAGAATCAACAACAAGTGGGACACAATCATGAAGTGGAACGAAATTTATTGGATATTTCAAACGTTTTTAACAAATAAAAAACTGAATAATTGGGCGTGCAAAATTATTCAGCCCCCTTAAGTTAATACTTTGTAGCGCCACCTTTTGCTGCGATTACAGCTGTAAGTCGCTTGGGGTATGTCTCTAACAGTTTTGCACATCAAGAGACTGAAATTTTTGCCCATTCCTCCTTGCAAAACAGCTCAAGCTCAGTGAGGTTGGATGGAGAGCGTTTGTGAACAGCAGTTTTCAGTTCTTTCCACAGATTCTCAATTGGATTCAGGTCTGGACTTTGACTTGGCCATTCTAACACCTGGATATGTGTATTTGTGAACCATTCCATTGTAGATTTTGCTTTATGTTTTGGATCATTGTCTTGTTGGAAGACAAAGCTCCGTCCCAGTCTCAGGTCTTTTGCAGACTCCATCAGGTTTCCTTCCAGAATGGTCCTGTATTTGGCTCCATCCATCTTCCCATCAATTTTAACCACCTTCCCTGTCCCTGCTGAAGAAAAGCAGGCCCAAACCATGATGCTGCCACCACCATGGTTGACAGTGGGGATGGTGTGTTCAGGGTGATGAGCTGTGTTGCTTTTACGCCAAACATAACGTTTTGCATTGTTGCCAAAAAGTTCGATTTTGGTTTCATCTGACCAGAGCACCTTCTTCCACATGTTTGGTGTGTCTCCCAGGTGGCTTGTGGCAAACTTTAAACAACACTTTTTATGGATATCTTTAAGAAATGGCTTTCTTCTTGCCACTCTTCCATAAAGGCCAGATTTGTGCAGTATACGACTGATTGTTGTCCTATGGACAGAGTCTCCCACCTCAGCTGTAGATCTCTGCAGTTCATCCAGAGTGATCATGGGCCTCTTGGCTGCATCTCTGATCAGTCTTCTCCTTGTATGAGCTGAAAGTTTAGAGGGACGGCCAGGTCTTGGTAGATTTGCAGTGGTCTGATACTCCTTCCATTTCAATATTATCGCTTGCACAGTGCTCCTTGGGATGTTTAAAGCTTGGGAAATCTTTTTGTATCCAAATCCGGCTTTAAACTTCTCCACAACAGTATCTCGGACCTGCCTGGTGTGTTCCTTGTTCTTCATGATGCTCTCTGCGCTTTAAACAGACCTCTGAGACTATCACAGTGCAGGTGCATTTATACGGAGACTTGATTACACACAGGTGGATTCTATTTATCATCATTAGTCATTTAGGTCAACATTGGATCATTCAGAGATCCTCACTGAACTTCTGGAGAGAGTTTGCTGCACTGAAAGTAAAGGGGCTGAATAATTTTGCACGCCCAATTATTCAGTTTTTTATTTGTTAAAAAAGTTTGAAATATCCAATAAATTTCGTTCCACTTCATGATTGTGTCCCACTTGTTGTTGATTCTTCACAAAAAATGACAGTTTTATATCTTTATGTTTGAAGCCTGAAATGTGGCAGAAGGTCGCAAAGTTCAAGGGGGCCGAATACTTTCGCAAGGCACTGTAGAGGGTGTACAAACCTCATAGTTGCCAGCTTCATAGTTGAGTTTAGCCAGAGAGGTGTGGTAGAGGTATGGCATATCTGTCCGTCGGCTCAAGAACACAAGCGTGCTGGCTGACTGAGACAGGGGCCTCCAGTACACCTCAATACGATTCCTCTCCTGTGGAACACACACACACACGTTATGAGGATGCTCATTGACATAATGCATTTGCTCACACCTTATTGTAACCTCAACCATCACACCTAAATGCCGAATCTCAACTCTTCCTCTAAGACCTAATTCTAACCCTAAAGCCAAGTCTTAACCCACAAACAACAAGATATTACCTTGTTCTTTGAAACACACCTATGAAGACAAAGTTCTTATTTTTCAGCATTATTTCATTTAAAGGGAGTGAGTATTCTTCATGTGATGACCATTCAGCTGAATTACAGCATACTTAATAAATCCAAGACAGACAACTGGGTATCTTGTTCATTTCACATCTATGTAGAATGTTTTTAAACTACAGCACACTGAAATTTTTTATTTTTGGTATTTTGGTACCAAAACTGTGTCTCCGGAATTTTATCCCAACACACTGTTCATGTTTAACAGCCTTCACATTAGTGTATTAATGTATTAGTTCCTAGCCTTGTTTGTATACAGTACATAATCTGATGTTCCAGTGAAGATGATGACCTGCAGCAGGCGTCTTCCCTGGATACCCAAGGGGTCCTGGTTGATGGCAATGACTACTTTATTTTGCAGGATGGCCCTTGCCCTGTTGTCCAGGTTTCGAAGATCATTTGACATGATGAGAGGTGCAGCCATTATAGCCCAGAGAGCCATCTGAGAGTGAGCCTGGTCCACACTGAGACCAAAGTTGCCAATGATGAGCTAAGGAGACATATCAGAGGTATGTGAGGCATGAAGAGACATGAAAAATGGGTCATCTCTGCTATAGGACT